GTGAGGGGAGTGGACTGCCTGAGCCCGCGGGTTCGAGACCTGCCTGGGCAACTTGGCGAGACCTCATCTCTACCATAAATCAAAAAACTAGTCGGGCGTGGTAGCGCGCGCCTGTAGTTCCAGCTACTTGGAAGGCTGAGGCGGAAGGATCGCCGGAGCTCAGCAGGTCGAGGCTGTGGTGGCCGGGAGCGGCCACTGCACTCCAGTCTGGACGACAGAGTGAGACTCCAACGAAAAAAAAAAAAAAATTAATCCTTTTTTGTTTTTAAGAGTTAGGGTCTTGCTGGACTCAAGTTTCTGGGCTCAAGTGACCCTCTCACCTCACCTCAACCTCCCAAGTTGCTGGAACTACAGGTGTGCACCACTGTCTGCCTAAAATTGAATATTTCTTTCCTGATTTAGTATGTCAATATCTGTGACAAAATTAATTGATTCGATAGTAATAATTCCTTAAGAAAATTTCAAAAAGTAAGTTTTCTGTATAGCCATTTGACAGTATAAAAAGTTGAATTATCAAGCTTCTTAAATAAAATTTTCACTATTTAAGACATAAATCAAATTCAGAACAAAAAACCAAAGCTACTCCCTCAAATTAAACTGGTTGATATAAAGGTATTAGGAAAATGAGCTATTCAATGCTAAAAATGAAACTGTGACTTTTAAAATTTAACTGATACATTAAAAATAAATCTAGCATAACAGAGATTAAGAAAATAAAGGCCAGGAGCAGTGGCTCGTGCCTGCAATCCTAGCACTGTGGGAGGCAAAGGCAGAGGACTGCTTGAACCTAGGAGTTTGATAATAGCCTAGGCAACACAGTGAGACTTCATCTCTACAAAAAAATCAAGACATTAGCTAGGCATGGTGGCGTGCGCCTGTTATCCCAGATACCTGGGAGGCTGAGGTAGATCAAGGCTGCAGTGAGCCATGATTGTGCCACTGCCCTCCAGCCTGGACAACAGAGTGAGACTCCAACTCAAAGCAACAACAAAAGAAAATGGGTAACATATTATGTTGGTGGACAAATAGCATAAGAATAGAAGGAACTCTCATATTGCTGAAAGTGTATAAAATGACACATCAATGTAGAATAATTTGGCACTATCTACTGGAATTGCAGGTGCACATGAACTTGTACACAGAAATCCATCATATAGTTTTATTTGCATCCATGAAAAATGATATTTATGTAAAATTACTCACTGCAGTACTGTTTGTAGTAGCAAAAAACCAGGAACCACCTTCTGCCCACAAGTAGAGAACTCAATAAATTGTGTCATATCTATTCAATGGATTTAAAAAGATTTCTGTGTAGTAACATAAACTGATCTGCAAAAACTACTGTTAAATAAAAAAAAGAAGGTACAGAATGATGTGTAAAACAACAACAAAATAAACAAGTATATGTATTTATTCATCTATGCATAGACTAATTTTTTGGAGTTTTTGGGGTGTTTGAGTTGGGGTCTTACTCTGTCAGCCAGGCTAGAGTGCAGTGGCATGATCACGATGATCACAGCTCACAGCAGTCTCGACCTCCTGGGCTCAGGTGACCCTTCCACCTCAGTCTCCCGAGTAGCTAGGACTACAGGTGTGCACCATCATGCCCAACTAATTTTTTAAAAATTTTTTGTAGAGATGAAGTTTTGCTATGCTGCCCAGGCTGGATTCAGACTCCTGAGCTCGAACTATCTGCCCACCTCAGCCTTCCAAAGTGTTGGGATTACAGGTGTAAGCCACCATGCCTGGCCTATACATACATAGAGTAATTCTGGAAGGCTACACAAGAAATTTCTTTTTTTTTTGAGTTGGAGTCTCACTCTGTCGCCCAGACTGGATGGAGTGCAGTGACCGCTCCCGGCCATCGCAGCCTCAACCTGCTGGGCTCCGGCGATCCTTCCGCCTCAGCCTTCCAAGTAGCCAGAACTATAGGCCACCACGCCCGGCTAATTTTTTATTTATTGTAGAGATGAGGTCTCACCAAGTTGCCCAGGCGGTCTCGAACCCGGGGGCTCAGGCAATCCACTCACCTCAGCCTCCCAAGGCGCGGGATTACAGGCTGAGCCACTGAGCCCAGCTTTCACAAGAAATTTATACAATGATTGTTTTTGGAGATGGTAACTGGTTACATGGGAGAGATTTACTTTTCACCATATATTTTACTGTGCATTTTGCTATTTTCCCCCATGTAACTGTATTATTTAAAAACAAAAAATGAATCATAAAATGTCTCAATAAAATATATCTATTTAAAACACATAATACCCAATTTATTAGGGGATATTTTAATAAGTAAATAGACATTAATCAATATTTGTGACTTCGTCTAAGTCACAAGTGTTCAGAATGCCCACTACCAGTTTCACTGTATCATTGATAATGAGGAATAACTGCATCATTATAACAAGCAAAACTGCATATAGTAAGTGCATACGAGTTGCATAATTCTGTATTGCTACTCAATTTTTCTATGTACTGACCTTTGGTTTTCAGTGCTTTGGGGACACATAGTTGGGGTTTCAGAAGACACATTTTCAGGATTTTCTTCTGCCACTTTTGGAATTTCAGATAATGAGTTTTGAGGGTTTTCATCTTTTGCTTCCTCAGTCTTATCCGCTTGAGAAGTTCTTTTCTGGAAATAGGATGCTGCAGATGCCTGTGGGAAAAAACATTATAAACACTGCAACACAATCTAGTATAATTTTATATGCCGCAAGCAAGCTCTGAAAAATGTGAAGAAACACTAATAATTATTTAGATTATAACACTTACTTTTATATTTTATTTATAATTATTTAGGTTAGATATAGATTATTCTTATACCAACAGTGAAGTTTTGAGTTCCCAGTTGAAAATAAACATGCACACACACAAGCAAAGAAAAAACTATACTTCAAATTCCATATTTTCTAAATGACTACAATGACATGAACTGGAACAGATAAACAACAAATCTATTTTGCTGATAACAAATTCTTATGAGAGTGGTCAGAATATGGAACAAAGAAAGAGTAGAATCATGTACGATATTAGTCACAAACAAGAATATGCATTAGAAACAGCAGGGAGATTTTAATAAAAATACAGACGCCTGAGTTGCTGGGGCCTGGGTACACATATTTTAAGAAAGTGATTCTGGGGGAAAAGGGCAGGATGGTGGCCATGGAAGTCGGTATACAGTGAAGAGTGTATAACAACCCCTGCAGGGTGGCAGAAGGAGGAAGTGATTCTGAAGCAAAAACAGAATTGCTATGTTTTGTTTTGTTTTTGAGACAGGGTCACTCTATGTTGCTGGACTCAAACTTCTATCTCAGCCTCCCAAGGAACTGGGACTATGCACAGGCATCACTGTTCCAGGGGCTGCAAAAACAGAATTGAGCCCCCTTCCCTACCCAGACAGTCAATTATAAACAACTGGAATCACCTATCCTATCCTTGAAAGAGTGAAACAACAGAAGACAAACAGATCACTATGCTGTTTTACACAGCTGTGGGTAGTGGAAATAGTACCTGCTTAGACTTTGGCTTTGGAATCAGAGGCTTTATAACTGGAGATCTTTCATTATTTGTAGTTCGAGTAAGTGCAGTGGGTTTCTTGGATGATTTGCTCATATTGTCTAAAATATTAGTTGAACGTGCTGAATTCATTGACATGGCTGGTTCTTTGGAGTTGGCTGATACCTAAAGAGCAAACTAGTATTAGCATTTTATATTTAAAGAAGAAAAAAGATCCTAAGAGATTTTTCTTTTAAATTTCTGTTAGTTTACTTTGCAGTGTCATCTTTAAGAACCAAATATATTTAGTACAACTCAAATTAGTTGAAACATAAAAGGGTGAAACACCAAAAAATGGATTCACTTTTTGCTGAAGTGCAGCCATTTTAACACTGCTTAGCTCTGTCATGTTTTTTTGTAAATTTTATTTTATTGTAAAGATGTGGGGTACAAGTCTGGATTAGGTACACAAGTAGTTTATGTGCAAGTGAAGTTTGGGCCCCTAACTGATCTTCACTTTCCCTGGTTTAGGGTCAGGCACCCTTAATGATGCTACGTGCCCCCGCTCCTTCCCCTAGCAGTATCCCTCTCTTGTAGTATTGTGATACATGTTCAGGATCCACTTACAAGTGACAACATGTGGTATGCAGTTCTTTGTTTCTGTAATAGATCACTGAGTAAGATGGATTCTAAATCCATCCAAGTTGCTGCAATGTCATATTTTCTTATTAGCAAATTACCTAGCTTGACCTCTAATCATTAACAAAGAGCAGAATGGGCTTCCCAGAGACAGTTATTGATCATTGTCTTGCAACCCTCCAGGTACTGATTATTTTCTATTCCAGTATTTATGTTTCAGCCATAAAGGGCCAAACTAACCTAATCTATTGTGATCAGTCCTTTGTGACCTACATGACACAGACCACCACCCATCACCATGCAACAGTTATGTGATTATCCCACTCATCTGCCTGCTGTTCATCACCATGATGTCAGCTGCTATGCTTACCTGCCCCCTTTGTGATGACATAAAACAGACCACCACCCAATCACCTTTAACAACCTACCCTACCAAAGGAAAGTCACTCAAGCAGATGCTGCCATGCTTTTTTTAAGCTCTTGGCGGCCATGCTTTCTATAAGCTTTGGCCCCCTCCTTGATCTTGGGGAGGTGAATCTCCTCTATCTCTCTCTTCTCTCTCATCTACTTTCTAATTTCTAGATGATTCTCTGCTTTATTTCCATGGCATCAGTCACATGGACCTAACATACATATGCCAGGAAATATCTTTCAAAACCATAAGTACTTCAAAGGTAAGTAGAGTATATAACAGCCCAACGTGAACCAGTGCTGCTCTCTTCCCTCATTTCACAAACACCAGTCTTTCATGCCTGCAAGTCTGGGGAGGGCCATCTGTTCAACTTGATCCAGTTCTCTGTATGGAAATGTATTTAAATAATAAAAAACATCACAAGAAAGAGTTTACCTTGAAGGGATTTACTCGTCCTTGGCTGCTAAAGGCAACTGCACCTTTCATAAGAAAAGAAACCCTTGCTTCAGTGGCAGAAAAGAGATGACTTCTGGCGTCTAAACTACCAGATAGACTATTTTAATCTATGCTATAAGAAAACAAATGTACTTAAAACTAGGAACAGCTATGGATGATCCTTTCCTGTTTCTAAGACAAAATAAGGGCTACCAAATGGGGACTATCCCACCTGCCACTATGAAACATACCCACTACACACAGATCTCGCTCTTCTGTGGTGCTTTCTTGACATCCCACAACTTTGACTTCTCCCTGTTTATTGGCTTCCTGAGTCTCTACTCTTAAGAAACAAAAAAATGAACTTTTCCACACTCCTGCCAGCCAACATCTTCTCTCACCTCACCCGACCTGACAAAATTTTCAAGAGCTACTGACACTACTACCTTCTCCTCACTGTCCACACATTCCTCCATACAATATTACACTTCCAGCCCTCCCCACCAACAGTATCCCATCTTGCTAAGGCCCCCAAAAAGCTCAATGTGGTCAAATATGGTAGATACCTTTCAGTCACCTTATGTGACCTCTCAAAGGCATCCCACATAGCTGACTGTTCCTCTGTTCTTGATACTTTCCGAAGGGAAACTCCCTTCACTTCTGAGAGTGGGCATTTCCCTGACTTAGCACCTCTCTCTCTAGACCCCTGGTCTCACTCTCTTTCAAAAATCAGTTCCTTCTCCTTGACCTGACGCTTAAATGCTGGGAATTCACTAGGCCTAAGGTAATTTTCTTCTTGCTTTACTTACTGTCCCAATACTTGCTCGCGCATGCCCATGGCTTCAATTGCTGTATTTAACCCAATGATTTTTACTTTGTATCTCTAGGCCAGAGTATACCTGAGCTCCTGATCCAAATACTCACCTCCCTACATGACATTCTGTGTGCCTCATAGTAATTCATCATCTTCCTATCTAAATCTGCTTTTCCTTATTGTTTTCTGACCCAGTACACAGCACCATCAACACTCAAGTCAATGTTAAAAAAAATTCTAAGTGAGAGGCCATTAGATGGGGTGACTCTGGTACTTTAATTTCCGATGTGAACAAACCAAAGTCCAGAATCAACACCAACTTGAAAACAGAAACTGCACCAATCGGAAACCGCCAATTAACATTTAATGAAGAACTTTCCACTTTAACCAATTAAAACTGAGTTTTTTTTTCTTGTTTCTGAAATACTTTTTAAAGGTCCCCTCTTGTACCTTACCTCTTGGTTGAGCACTAGCCCTTTTTGGGCTGGTGCTGCCCTGATTATGAAGCACTGAACACTCAAGTAAACTCTTCACAATTTAAATATGTTTACATTTTTCTTTTATCACCAGAAACGGAGTCACACGCTCTCTATACCACCTCCAACTCTACCCATTTCTTCCACTATCACCATCACCACCCTACTCAAGCCACTACTCAGTATCTTTATATTTGCTCCTTCCTCCTCAGTACAGCATACCATGCCACACCCCTGGTTAAAACCTACAACAGCATCTCAGGGACCTCAGCGCAAAGATCAAACTCTGTAATGTGGCCGACACAGAGTTGCATGATGGCTCCTGCTCATCGTTCCAAAACCCTTCAGTGCCCTTTCTCTCTGTTCTCTTCATACCACCCTTGTCTGCACATATACAGTTCGTGCCTTGTATAGTCCTAAATGCTTTTCCTTTGTTCTTGCTCCCATCCACCTACGTGACTTAGGTCACTATTTCATACACCTATTAAGTTTTTGAATCAAAGTAATAGAAGTACATAGTTTAAAAAGTCAAATGGTACTATAAGGATTGTGTTAAAAATAAAAACCAGCAGTTTCCTATTCCAGTCTTCTCTAGTTCCCAGTTCTGTTTCCCAAAGGCAACTCTTTTCCACTCTTTTTAACTGTTTCTTCAGCACCCTGCATATTTCTTTAGTGATACTCAGATCTATCTTTATACCTGTGTTCCCAGATAGGTTGAAATAGCATTAAGACAGGATCAACCATACATGTCTGCTTGACCCACCATCCAATAAAATGCTGGACACACAATAAACATTTAATAAACACTTGCAAAATGGCCAGTTTCACAATCAACAACTCTGATTAAAAACAAACAAAAAAAAGGCCCTAGGGGATGATGTGTGCTTGAGTAGATGTATTACTTTACAGACTACTTGTAAAATGTCCTTGATATTACAAATTTATAAATATTTCTCACCTGACTTAGCTGAAACCTCAGAGGAATTTGCACTTTTGGAAAATGAGTTCTGTCCTAGAGGATAATTCAAATAAAACAATATAATGTCAATGGAGAAAATAAAGTCCTCCTCAGTATTCAATAGATAGCCCAGATGTCTTGAGAAAAGCATGAGTATGCCATTTCCTTCAGTCGAGTGAAACAGAAAAAGAAACACCCGCAACATTTCTCATCATTCACTGCCTTGAAACTGAATCTCACCATGATCGTGCACTTCTGGTTTTTCTTCCACATCATCAGCTTCTCCACTGTCCTCGGCATCTTCTTCAACTTGATTTCTAAGCCTTGGTCTGCTCCACTCTGTAGCAGTCTTACTGTACCTACAAGACAATAACGTTAGTCAGCAAAGGGCTATGCAAAGATAGTCAAGACGGTAAGGGAAAATTCGAGCAGTCGAGGATTAGTTATTAGTCAAGATGGTAAGGGAAAATTCCAGCAGTCAAGGATTTCTTACCCAGCATTCAGCTTTTTTCTGAAATCTTGTTCTTCTTCTTCCTCTCGCACCTGGGATGCTGTCAATTCAGTTGCCTTCTCTACAGCCAATTCACTAAGTCTTTGAGCCAATATTAATTTCCGAGAGCGAGAAGCATATTTAATAGCTAAATTCACAGCATTTTGAGTCATTAAACCAGCAAGTTCCACACAACGGAATTCCCGCTCCAGTTTACAAGAAAGCTAACCCAAAAAGGAAAAAAAAAAATCACATTAAGCACAGCCTTTTAAAAACATTGATACAACTGTAACACTGAGAAAACTGTTTTCCAGGTACTGTATTCCACTGCTTCTAAGATACACATTTGTACACATTTTTAACATCTCTGAAATTAGAAAGCACCTTACAATTAATGGTGGGTCAGTTTGGCATTCTTTTATCTCTTTGGTGTAAATGAAGAAAATACTGGTGGATTTTACAATAAATAGTAGCTTAGATATAACTTAATATGCTAAACAAGAACTGACCAGTCCCCAAAGATACTAGTATTCTACTGAGAAACACTGCCACAAAGGAAAAGCTCCTCTAAGGCTAAATGGTAAATAAATCAAATGTTTCCTTACATTTGTTTACAAATTGGAAACAAAACAGTTACTGCTTTGCATAGAATTGGCGTACAAATGCACTAAGGGAGTTTGGGTAGGGAAAAATCAGATTTATCCATTAATTTTTAAGTGTGATTGTCTATAATCTTCAACTACTAGAGATACCTACATAACTTCCAAATGAACAAATAGCTTCCTTTTTCTTGCCATTTTAAAATACTTATAATATGAAACAAAGAAAATTCATTTAATATCTCTTAAAAAAAACACCATTTTCCATTTTGGCAACTCAAAGTGAGGCAACTTAAGTCCAAAGTTTGGAAAACTGATACTCTGAAGACTACTAATAGTCTCATGATTCAGAGGGAACCAGAATTATGTTGTTACTAGGACATGCCATGTCTGATCCATTAGCACAGAAGCTTTAGATATCCATCTGAATGTCCTTCTCAAGATTTCGAGTATCATGTCTGTAAGCAGCACTTCTTAAAAAAAAAGAAAAAGGTCTCTCTTCATTGCCCAAGTTGGAGTTCAGTGGTGTTGTCATGGCTCACTGCAGCCTTGAACTCCTGCGTCCAAGTGATCTCCCTGCCTCAGCCTCCCCAGTAGCTGGGACTAGAGGTAAGAGCCACCATGCCCAGCTAATTTTTTTGCTTTTTGTACAGATGTGGTCTCGCTATGTTGCCTAGGCTGCTCTAGAACTCCTGGCCTCCAGGGATCCTCCTGCCTTGGGCTTCCAAAGTGCTGAGATCACAGGTATGCCACCATACCTGGCCCGTCTATAAGCAGTACTTCTTAGTTAGGAAGGCACTCTGCCACAGGGGGCATTCAGAAACAAAAGAGAGTAAGTAGTCTGGTTCCCACAATGACTTTGTTGAAGTAAAGACATGTGCCCTGGGGCCCGGAAGGCTAAGCAAGAACTGACCAGCTCTAAAGACCCCAGTACTCCATGGGGAAACATTGCCACAAAGGAAAAGCTTCTCTAAGGTGAAATGGAAAATAAATCAAACATGGCTCCTTACACGTGTGGTCCAAAGCAAAAAGGTTGCTAGCTCCTGAACCACAAACAACACTCCATAAAAGGAATAAACCTTAACCTACAATAAACTGAGTTTCCTTTGTACCAAACTTAAGGCAGTGCAGCATACAGGCAAACAGTAGCAAGCACTGCCTTTTGGAGACAGTGGTTACAATATGCTCTGTGGTCTCAGATACCACTTTTCTCTCAAGACCCTTTCGCATCAATTTTAAAATAAAGTCTTGACCACTCACTCCATCAGAAACCACTGAGGTCTACCCTGTATTAGCTATCACATCAGTGCCTGGCATCCGGCAGTGAGCGGGTCTCTGCCTTCACTGGTTTCTTGTCTAACATGTGATGAGCAGAGAAGAAATCACACTACATTCCTCTCCATAAACCAACCACCAGTGGGGACACAAACACAGGAACTTCAAGACAACCTGCTCCAAATATAAATGAACTTAAATACCTAAGGCACCAAACTAGCCACCGGCCACAGACAAACTTCACTACACAGCTGCCTAACTCAAAGAGGATGACACAAGGCAGGCATATCCAAAAGGCTGACCACAGTTCTTAAGACCACCCAGGTCTGGAGATCACAAAACAGCCAGCACCTAAACTCTGTATGATGAAAACAGGAGCGAGAACAGAAGTTTTGAATTACCTGGAGGACCTGTGGAAATAGACTACTGGGCAAAAAGCACAAGAGAATAAGCACCTAAGCCTATGATTTCAGCTACCAGTTAATGCTTTAAATATTTTAACTACACCACCTACAAGACAGAACTTTTAAGGGAGAAAAATAGCACCAGATACCGCTTAAGACCTCAAGGTTGTGGGACTCAGACCTAATTCACATACCTTTAAGAAATTCAACCTACAGAAAAGCATTTCATTTTAACTTTTTCAATAATTCATTTTACTCACCGCAAGCATTTTCATTAAAAGTTCCTGTTGCTCTTTTATTGCTTGATTTTTAATGCTCTCTTCATATTCATAACCATGTTTAGCTAAGTAATCAAGGTGGTTGTGAAACATAACTGATCGCCAAAACTGCTCCTACAAAAGTGGATAAAATTGCTTAATACCATCTATCACCTCAATAACAGGCAGGCATTAAATATTTCTCTTACGATACCAGTTTCTGAATACAATATTTTCTGAAATCTTCCTTTCTATAAGTTTAGTTTAAAATTCACATTCCGAAGTTGGTGGTCAGGCCCAGCGGCCTAGGCATGAGTGCAGGAACCAGAGGGCTCTTTTCACAGCATTTAATGCTCTCTTGCTAAAAATGTTTAATAATAAACAGGATGTCACTACTCGGGAAAAATAAAATAAAATAAAATTCAAATTTCAATGTGACAAAACAACTTTATCTTCTATTCTTCAAAAGGTGGGGGCGGAGGGAATGTAGTGTTTAAAAGTTTCCTGCCAGGCGCAGCTCAAGCCTATAATCCCAACACTTTGGGAGGCTGAGGTGAGAGGACTGCCTGAGTCCATGGGTCTGAGAACAGACTGGGCAACTTGGCGAGACCTCATCTCTACAAAAAAAATTTTAAAAAATTAGCTGGGCATAGAAGCGTGTGCCTGTAGCTCCGGCTATTGGGAAGCTGAGACGGAAGGATCACCTGAGCCTAGAGGTCGATGCTGGGGTAGCCGTGAGTGTACCACTGCACTCCAGCCTGGGCAACAGAGTGAGACTCCAGTGCAAAATAAAAATAAATAAAATAAAACAGTTTCCTAGCTGCCATAGCTAATGCTCAGAAACCTTGGTAAACCAGATTTTTAAAAACTGATTTGCTTCTTGTTTAGAATAACCAATTACAAGATTTCAACTGACTTTTGGTGACCAGAGTGAGGCAAGTGAAGTGTCCGCGACACAGAATGTATGGAGGCACTCCCTCTTCCTCTCAGGGGTGCGCCCGACCCTGTGAGTGCATTACCCTGGAGGGGCCCTGATAGTTATATCCATTTGCCATGTAAAACAAGTCCCTGGAAGTAGTGATGGCCACCAGCTGGCCTGGTGTTCATAAGCAGTCTTCTCTCCTCCCTGCTATCTTTACTTACTTGTACAGTAATGACTACTCAGCACTGGTCATTATGATCATTTTTATTTTTATAATTTAAATGACAGAGGCAAGGTCTCCTATGTTGCCCAGGCTGGTCTTGAACTCCTGGGTTCAAGCAGTGGTCTTACCTAGGCCTTCCAAAGGCTGGGACCACTAGGATCATTTTTAAATGTCTGTATCCCAAGTAGTATGTTATCAAACTCAGTGTCAAGGTAAGATGTCCACATACCTCCATTTGTCCTTTCTCTGTTGCAATCTGACAGTAAGGAAGCTTAAAGGATAACACGGCTACAGCAGGGCGTGGGAGGGTGGGAGGAAACCGAGAACCTTTACAAGGAATGCATCTGTCGGTAAAGAAAAAGTTCCACTGTTAAAATTTGCTAAAATGTCATAAAAACTGCAAAAGTAAAAAATTTTCAAAACTTAGTAACTTGGAATAGTAATATTCTTTCAATTGCTAGCTTAATTATACATAAAAAATCCCTCTTTTTAAAAAAGTGTCTTAGGCCTGATTAGGTATAATGACTATTCCTCTATGCATTTAATGAATTTCAAAAACTCCTTCTCACATGTGCTTTATTAAATAACAGTCACTAAAAGTGAAATCAGTTCTCCTCATATTTTCTATACCAAACTGACCACTTTTAAAATACAGAAATTGTGCCACAAACACTTGCCATGGGGTCCATGGCATCATTCTAAGATAATATGTTGAAGCATATTCACTTTCATTCCAAGTTTGGGAATTCTTGTACTATTGCTTAACCCAGAAAATCAGCCTGGGCAACATAGTAATATCCCCACCTCAAAAAAAAAAGAAAGACAGTGAAACGCCCAATACAGGTGCGTCAGAGTGAAGCAGAAAATCCAACATCACTAAAAACATTTTAATCTATACCTGCTCTGATAAATCAAAGGCTGCCTTACATGGCAATAGATCAGAGGGCAAAGATTTTGTCTAAACCTTTTCTGACTAGGGTATGTAAGGCATTCAAAGATGCGCACCATGGGAGCATTCATGCAACTTATTAAGAAACATTCATTAGTTACAGAATAATTTGCATACATGTATCATTCTTTTACTTTATGTATTACAAATTACTTTTAGAAAACCATTGGATACTACAAGTACCATACGCAAACTTTGTTTTAATAAAGTCATTTTTTTTTTTGTGAGTTGGAGTCTCACTCTGTTGCCCAGACAAGGAGTGCAGTGGCCGCTCCCGGTCACTGTAGCCTCAACCTGCTGGGCTCCAGCGATCCTTCCACCTCAGCCTTCCGAGTAGCCGGAATTACAGGCATGCACTACCACACCCGGCTGATTTTTTATTTATTGTAGAGATGAGGTCTCGCTGCCCAGGCGGGTCTCGAACCCGTGGGCTCAGGCAATCCACTCACCTCAGCCTCGCAAAGCCTCATAAAGTTATTTTTAAAGCTCAGCACCTTGTTCAATGCTTACTAATAGTCATTCAGTCATCCATTTTATAGTACAGCCTTTTTTTTTTTTGAGTCAGAGTCTCACTCTGTCGCCCAGGGTGGAAGGCAATGGTATGCTCACAGTCACCGCAGCCTCAACCTGCTAGGCTCAGGTGATCCTTCCACTTCAGTCTTCCAAGTAGCTGGGACTACAGGCGTGCGCCACCATGCCCGGCTAATTTTTTTATTTATTGTAGAGATGAGGTCTCACCAAGTTGTCCAGGCTGGTCTCAAACGCGTGGGTTCAGGCAATTCCCTCACCTCGGCCTCCCAAAATGCTGGGATTATTATTATTATTTTTTGAGTTGGCGTCTCACTCTGTCACCCAGACTGGAGTGCAGTGGCCGCTCCCAGCCACTGCAGCCTCGACCTGCTGGGCTCCGGCGATCCTTCCGTCTCAGCCTTCCAAGCAGCTGGAACTACAGGCACGCACTACCACGCTCGGTTGATTTTTTATTTTATTGTAGAGATGAGGTCTTGCCAAGGTGGCCAGGCGGGTCTCGAACCCGTGGGCTCAGGCAATCCAATGCTGGGGTTATAAGTATGAGCCACTGCACCTGGCAGTACAGTCTTTTAGTCAGAGTTTTAAGTCAAGAAAATCTTTAAGGGAAATACTGAGTAGCAGTGAGGGGGAGGGTATGACTTTTTTTTCACAAATGTCTTCTAGTATATCAAATGTTCACTAGCCTAACTAAAAAACAAGTTAGTGTCAATACCCAGCAATATTTTCAAACTACACAGACCCCTTCTTTTTGGGATTCAAATACTTTCCTTCTTTCTGTGACTATATAATAAAAATACAAACATGGTTCTAGAGTTCCATTTTTTTAACATATAATCTCATGTTCTTTATTTCTCCTCCCTTTTATGATTCTTCTCACACCTGTATTCCCAGCACTTTGGGAGGCCGAGGTGAGTCCAGGGGTTTGAGACCAGCCTGGGCAACTTGGCGAGGCCTCATCTCTACAATAAGAATCAAAAAGTAGCTGGGTGTAGTGGCACACACTTGTGGTTCTAGCTACTTGAAAGGCTGAGGTGGAAGGACTGCCTGAGCCCAGCAGGCTGAGGCTGCAGTAGCCATGAGTGTGCCATTGTACTCCAGCCTAGGTGGCATTGTGAGACTGTGACTCAAAAAAACAACAGTAGTTTTCACTACACCATATGAAGTGGGAGTAATGTTAATTGCCTAAACATTATTTTTTCTATACTCTTTTGTTTAAGAACATTTTATAGCTCAAATACTTTATTGATTTAGACATGATAAGCAATTATCACAAAGAGGAAACATTGATTAGAATGCTATTAATAATTACTTTCTAAGTAATTTTATTTAGATCAAAGTAGAATACCAATTCATACTGCTTATGCTTTCCTTAGTTTTAAAGATGTGAACTAAACAGACTTTTTCCTCTGGTAAATATCCTCTTCATAACAGGATTCTAGGAAAAAAGAAGTATTATAACAGCTAATTTGGTGGGTTCTGCTCACCATGAATGAGCTTCCTAGAAATTGTGTGTCTAAACCATCTGGAGAAATAGATGTGAAAAAATAAGCCACAGTTTACTAAGAAGACAAAATAATTTCAATTTCTTTTCAAATTGATCACAAAATCTGCTCTTTTATTATACTAAAGGAAGAGCTGAAAAATACCCAACTGGAGAAAACTGGGACCAGTGGCCAGGCTAACCCCACCCCAGTGAGCAGGTTTTGCTTTCTCTTCCTTGTTGGACAAGACTCCCTCTGCATTTACTGGGACTTTGCTCACGCTCTTTAAAGCATGCAGGACTAGCATGATGACTTCGTAAGCCTTCTTCTTTCTGCCACAGGCCATGACTGTCTCTGTGTGGAACACAGCGCTAGGGTCAGTCCCATAACTAATGATTGTTGAATGAACACAACTAGGAAAACAAATCTACTTTTCAAGCACATTAAAGAACTCTCAAGAGTTTTACAATTAAGGAGAAAAGGAAGGAAGGCTGCTGTTGGTAGAGAGCAAATTGTGTAACAGGCACAATTAGCTAATTCTGTTATGTATTAACCCATAGTGATTGTGAAAAATTTTCAGGGGACACAATAAAGGCAGTTTTTGCTAAACTAAAGTGACACTACTACAGATCACTAGTTTTTTTATATTCATAATTAAAGGAAGGTGTTTTGTACTAACTCAAGTGAAACCTTTTAAAGAGATGGGGTCTCTCTATGTTGTCCAGACTGCCCTGGGTCCAAGCAATTCTCCTGTCTCAGCACACTGATTAGCGGGGACTACAGGCAGGTGCCACCACGGTAGACTCTCAAATGAATTTTTTAAAATTATTTTTAACAAAATATAATCTCTTCTAAAGGCTCTCTAAACAAAAAGAAAGCATAAATACTATTGGGGTAGAAAATGCATTTAAGATGAAAAGAATACAGAAACAGGTATTAACTCAATCTTTACAGCAATTCTGTGTGAAATGGGTACATTCAAATTTTAGAGAAACAGAGGCACAAAAAGTGTAAGAAACATGGTCAGGGCTACTAAGTGAGTATGTCATCCAGGATACCACAAGCAGATACTGTCACCTCTAGGCCACACTGTATTTCTAGAAAAGCATGTGGTTTGCTGTCTTTACCACAAACAATGAGAGCAAACAGGAGCATTAGAAATTTAGGTAAACATAAAGGTGAATTTTTTTCCTTTCTTTTTTTTTTTGGAGTTGGAGTCTTACTCTGTTGCCCAGATTGGAGTGCAGTGGCACACTCATGGCCACTGCAGCCTCGACCTGCTGGGTTCAGGTGATCCTTCCACCTCAGTCTTCCAAGTATCTGAAACTATAGGCACACGCCACCATGCCTAGCTAATTTTTTGATTTACTGTAGAGATGAAGTCTCACCATTTGCCCAGATTGGCCTTGAACCCATAGGCTCAGGCAATCCTCTCACCTCGGCTTCCCAAAGTGCTGGGATTATAGGCGTAAGCCACCGTGCCTGGTAAGGTCAATTCCTTGATAGCCAGGATAGGTAAGTCTTATTAAACACAGAAGCAGGCTACTAAAGATGGCTGTAGAATTTTATTCCTGGACATTTTCACATATCTCCATTCATATGAGGAAAATTAATAATCTTTACATGTGTCTACATATAAGCAAAGCTGGTGTGAAAGTGCAATAAGCCATACTGAGAAGTGTAGCACTCTTTAAGAAGTATTCTTATTCAAGTTTATTCTTCCAGAATAAAGCAAGGAAATGTGAAAACATCCTGTGGTCAATTTATCAAAGTATATACAAATAATTACATTTCTATGAGCAAACATCTTAGCCTAAATCTTGTCAGTATTTCAAATGCCTGGGGTATAAAATTCTCTCAATAATTCAATTATCCTTTGATAATAAGTTGGTCCCTAAAGGAGAAGCATTTATTCTTTCACTATTTGCAAACTCCACTTTCACTGTTCCTATATTTTAGTACCAAAAAAATGCAATAAGTTTTTTTGGCTGCTAACTTGGTGTGCAAGCTCAACTTATTTAATTTTTCTGGACCTCAGTTTTCTCATATGTAAAAACTGGGGGGAAGAGATGGAGGTGGAAGCAGGGAGAGAGCACAGCAATGGGAGCACAAGAACGCAGTCGTCCTCATTCTATGATTCCTGTAGGGCTGCTGAGCTCAGAGCTGCCAAGCTATGAAAGGGTCCATGAATGCACACAGGCACCATGAATCGTCTAGAGGTAGAGAAATCAGTAGTTTCCACTCTATGTACTAGAATTTTCACATGCATGTAGATGATGTGATTTATAAATGCAAATTTACATTAAAATAAAGGTTTTACGTTCACAGAAGGTATCTTATCATGAATTTTCTCTATTAACTAATACCTAGTGTAGAGCATTATCACTTGGAGGTCATGAAATGTTCAACATGTAACAAAGACTCCTGCTTGAATCCAGCCTGGGCAAAATAGCAAGACCCTGACTAAAATCAAATAAATAAACAGGGTTCTTATATTTGAAAACACAGGAGTTACTGGTCTAGACAGTTTCTAAAATCCTTCCAAATATAAAAGCTATAATTTAGAGTCCATTATTTCTTTATTCCACATTGAATATAACAGTTAAATGTTACTGGCTATAATTACCATGGCTTTTAATGAAAGTTAAAACTTTGTAGGTTTTTTTTTTGAGTTGGAGTCTCATTCTGTCACCCAGACTGGAGTGCAGTGGCACGCTCCCAGCCACCACAGTCTCGACCTGCTGGGCTCCAGCAATCCTTTCACCTCAGCCTTCCAAGTAGCCGGAACTACAGGTGCATGCTACCACACCCAGCTAATTTTTAAAATTCACTTATTGTAGAGACGAGGTCTCCCCATGTTGCCCAGGTGGGTCTCGAACCTGCAGGCTCAGGCAATCCACTCGCCTCGGTCTCCCAAAGTGCTGGGATTATAGCCTGAGCCACCAAGCCCAGCCAAATTTTGCAGATCTTAAATCAAAAGTAGGTGAGAAAAGAAAGCCAGTTGTCTAAATTACTAGAGGTGTAAAAATTGAGAATGATAAGACACTTATAATATTAAATTAAATGAAAAAACAAAACTATTCATTACAAATGAATAATTTCACATCCCTCCTTCAGATAATGACATTCACTAACAAAATCTTACCTGAATAAACCATTAGATAGATAGTAAAAATTATTACAGGTTCAAATCTTAACCTTTTATTAAAATAGATTGTTAATTCATTCAAATTACTAGATAACTTGATACCTGAAAACGGACATGCAGGAAATTACTGAGAAAAATCTCCACCATAGGAACTGTTAAAATAGTTAACTAATAATATACTTCTTCAGATACTATGTCAATAATGGAATATCTAGAGACTACAATTATAAAGACAAAACATTCAGAAATAAACACTCCCTGACACAGAAAGACTGGGGGGAAAAAATAAAAATATATCCATATGTAAAAATATCAAAAATTTTAAAAAAGAAAGAACAAGTGATTCCTCTATGGTTCTCTAACTAGTTCAATTTTGCATTCTCTGGGACTACGCTTTTCTGCTCAAACATCTACTCTGATATCTAAATGTTGGCATTTCTTAGGGTTGGGCTTCGAGACCTTTCTTCTTTCCTTTCCTATCTCTAAATCTCATTTAATTATTACTCTAAATACCTTCTATATGCTGGTAACTCCCAAATTTATATCTCTAGCAAGCATTTTTCCTCTGATTTCAAATTGTATAATACCTTTTTGATATCTCCATTTGGCTATTTCAGACATTTCAAACTTTAACACTCAGAAGGAATTCCTTTACATCTCCTGTATTCTATAAATGGAACAACTATCCATCCAGTTGCTTAAGTTAGAAACAAAGGGTCATCACTGACTCTTCATTCTCACTTCCAACCCCAATCCATTATCAAGTTGGTAGTTTCTATCTTGAAGCTACTTCTCTCCATTTCTGCTGCTCCCACAATACTCTAAGCCATAGTCATAGCTCTGCCAGACACCTGCAAAACCCTCCTCAGTGTTTCTCAATGAAGGTAAAGATAATATCTGAAGAAGGACAATTTGCAGTGGAGCAGGGCCATTCTGAACAACGCAGTGTGTTTCCCAGCCCCGACTCCTGCTCTGGTCAAATACCAGAATGATCTCTGGTCATTGTGAATAACACAACACCCCACATTTCCAAGCATCCCCCAAGGAAGAGATAAATCTCCTGGTTAAAAACTCATCTCCTCACTTCCAGCCTTAATTTTTCCAATCCATTTACTATACACATTTTTATGTCATTAATCAGTAACGTTATTCTCTTGGACAAAACCCTTGAATGGTTTCCGACATATTTCAAATAAAATCCAAACTTCTTTACCCGGGCCCAGAATGTGGCTTGTGTCCCACACCCGCCATCCCTGCTTCTTGCACTCAAGTCATGTCCCCTCCCTCCCTCCCAAACTGGGGTCTCACTCTGTCACCCAAGTTGGAGTGCAGTGGCACGATCACGGCTCACCGCACCTTGACCTCCTGGGCTCAGCCAATCCTTCCACCTCATCTCCTCAATAGTTGGGACTATAGGCGTGCACCTAGCTATTTTTTTATTTTTTGTAGAGACAAGGTCTCACTATGTTGCCTAGGCAGGTATCAAACTCCTGGGCTCAAGCGATTCTCCCGTCTTGGCCTCCCAAAGTGCTGGGATTAGAGTTATGAGCCACCACGGCCAGCCTTACATCTTTTCAATTCCTCAAACACAAGTTCTTTCTGACCTCAGAGCCTTTGCACATGCTGCTTACACTTTATGAACCGCTTTTCACTTCCTTCTTCCATATCAGATTCCTTGGCCTCTAAGTCTTATTTTAAATGCTACCTGTGGAGAGTCTCCCATGATCACCCCACCCAGGAATGTGCTCTTCTGTTATTCTCCACCAAGGGTCTGGCCAGATAATTAGCAGAATGTATCCCAAGTAGTAATTAATATTTAACTTGTTTCTGTTATGGGTCTCTCCAATCAGATTACAAGTTCCATGGAAGTAGAGGCCTCTTTGTTCACCAAGTACCTATACAATGTCACTGATAATCTGTCAGATGAGAAGATATTAAGTGTCAAGAGAAGAAAATTCGTCAATACAATATTGAGTTGAGACTCTGTGAACTGAGAATTCTTGTAGTCAATTAAATTTCTTTTTCTTTTTGAGTCGGAGTCTCACTCCATCGCCCAGGATGGAGTGCGGTGGCACGCTCACAGCTACACCTACCCCAGCGTTGACCTGCTGAGCTCCAGAGATCCTTCCACCTCAGCCTTCCAAGTAGCCGGAACTACAGGCGAACGCTACCACACTCGGTTAATTTTTTGATTTGGTGTAGAGACGAGGTCTCGCCAAGTTGCCTGGGCTGGTCTCAAACCCGCAGGCTCAGGCAGTCCACTCAACCTTGGCCTACCAAAGTGCTGGGATTACAGGTTGAGCCACCAAGCCCACCCCAACTATTAAATTTCTATTAACTCTCTCCCCCATTATAATAATCAAGCAAAAAAAAAAATCCTCCAAAGCAGCTGAATTATATATATGCAACTCTAAATCATAGTTTGTAATAAAAGGTGCACTGCTATGTTTAACCAGAACTCCTTGTCCAGCCTAGCTGAAATGATGCTAAGATCACACTAACAGACTTAATTTTTATTTTGTTCAACAAATTTCAAGTAAAGCAATTGGTTGAACACTTCAGGGTGAAAATAAACAAAATCCTAATTTAGTGACTATGGAAAGCAAGTAAATAGACTAAGATGAAAGACAAATACACTTAAAGGGTCGCATACAATTTCAAAGTGCTTTTTAAAAAGAGTCAGCTTTATGCATTTTGTAATAGCCCACCTTAGCTGCTGCGGATTTTCATGGATACCAACCACCCAGTAATGATCAGATTTTCCTTTGCAGTGCTCTCTTGTGTTACATATGGGAGTCCATGTATTACCAAGCCCTCTGTTAAGCATTCGAACAATGCCTTCTGAATCCACGTAACAGGGGGTACCTACACACCAACAAAGAAAGAAATCACTTGGAGACACAGCTACGTATTGTTAAACCCTATTTCAAATACACATACCAAAGATTTACTTTTCATTTCAAAAGCAAAAGCAAAAAACCAAACCAAAAAGGCAAGTAAATCTAAGACTATTTCCTATAAAATTTCATTAGTCATACCATTATAGAGTAAGACCTAACTGAAGAAGAAAAATTACATTTGATATGACTAAAATTTTCACAAATATAGTGAAACAACTGACAGTTTCAGTGAAAACTATGCCACCTGCTGGAATATAACTATAATAATTTTCAAGCACATTTTAGTAAAATAAATAAATATTAAAAAATAAGCATGAACCAGAAGACTTGTGGTTGAGAGAGACTTGGAAAAATGACCAAAACTTGACACACTGTGATGATGCAAAACATTGATCTCTGGTGCTCTAATTACTCTCTCTTCTCTTTGCTGGCCTTGTCACATTCTCTTCCCAACTCCTAGGTGAGCGATTCTCACCTATGAAAACAGGTAAGACTCCTATTTCCCACCTACTGGCTTCCACTTCAGGAAGTTCATGGCAAATTACCTAATCATCTCCTTCCTTATCTGTTGCTTCACACCCCTCTTACTTTGCAAACATCAATTTCCTTGGGGTCTGGTTCTAACTGATACTTGGGGGGGAAAAAAGCTATACAAATGGAGGTTATTAATGGTCATCTTATTAAAGCATGAATGACTAACAATAACCCAATAAAAAACACATCCAGGTCAGGCATATTGTAATCCCAGCACTTTCAGAGGCGGAGGCGAGAGGATTGCCTAAGCCTACAGGTTCGAGACCTCATCTCTACAATCAATTGATCAAAAAAAAAATATTAGCCAGGTTTGGTGGCCCATGCCTATGGTTCCAGCTATTTGGAAGGCTAAAGTGGAAAGATCGCCTGAACCCTGCAGGTTGAGGCTGCAGTGGTCCTGAGTGTGCCACTGCACTCTAGCATGGGTGACAGAGTGAGACTCTGACTCAAAAAACAAAAAACAAATAAAAACAACACACATCCAAAGGCAGGGCACAGTGGCTCACGCCTGTAATCCCAGCACTTTGGAAAGTCGAGGCAAGAGGATTGCCTGGGCACAGGATTTCGAGACCAGCCTTGGCAACATGGCAAGACCTCGTCTCTACAATAAATCCAACTAGCCAGGGGTGGTGGTACCCACATGTAGCTCAAGTTACTTGGAAGTCTGAGGAGGAAAGATCACCTGAGCCCAGCAGGTCAAGGATGCAGTAGCTGTGAGCATGCCACTGCATTCCAGCCTAGGCGACAGAGTGAGACTTCAACTAAAAACAAAAAGCAAAACTAAACAAAAAAAACTTCAACTAAAAACAAAAAACAAAACTAAACAAAAAAAATCCAAAGATGTTTCATATTTTAAAGACAAAGTGGAGTTTCCAGTGATGTAAATAAAAAAATATGAGTCTCCAATAAGAGAACTATCTAAGCCCCCTTGAGACAGAGTAATAGGTGGTTTAAAATAAGGCACTCCTCGGTGTCCTTCATATCATCTGTCATAAGCCACTATAATTGGGTCTACAACAGCACTATCCAATAGAAAAATCATGTGAGCCATAAATGTAATTTTTAATCTCCTAGTGCCACATTAAGAAATAAGATAGGCCAGGAGCAGTGTCTCAGCCTGTAATCAATCCCAGCACTTTGGGAGGCCGAGGTGAGAGGACTGCCTGAGCCCGGGGGTTTGAGACCAGCCTGGGCAACTTTGTGAGATCTCGTCTCTACAACAAATCACAAAAACTAGCCAGATGTGATGGTATGTGTCTGTAGTTCCAGCTACTTGGAAGGCTGAGGCAGAAGGATCACCTGAGCCTGGCAGTGAGACTCCAACTCAAAAACAAAAAAAGAAAGAAAGAAAGAAAGAAAAGAAAGGGCAATGTTAATTTTAATAATACATTACTTAATCCAATATATACAAAATATTATCATTTGGCATATAATCAATGTAAAAGAATCATTGAGATTTTTATATTCTTTTTCATACTAAATCTTCAAACTTCAGAAAGAATTTTATACGTAGAGCACACTTCAATTAGGATTAGCCATATTTCAAGTGCTTAATAGTCACACATGGCTAGTAGTTATTGTAGTGAACAATAAAAGTTCTAGAAAATTCCTAATTTTTGTGTACAATCTGCTGCAAAGGACACAACTTTACCATTGATTTTTATCTCCTCCTTGCTATCTAATACACTTTCAGAAAAAAATATCTGTTAACATTTCTTTTTTTTTTTTTTTTGGAGTTGGAGTCTCACTCTGTTGCCCAGACTCGAGTGCAGTGGCCAGACCTCGACCTGCTGAGCTCCGGTGATCCTTCCACCTCAGCCTTCCAAGTAGCTGGAACTACAGGAGCCCACTACCACGCCCGGCTAATTTTTGATTTATCGTAGAGATGAGGTCTTGTCAAGTTGCCTAGGCGGGTCACGAACCCGCGGACTCAGGCAATCCACCCACTTCGGCCTCCCAAAGTGCTGAGATTACAGGCTGAGCCACCGAGCCCGGCCATTTGTTAACATTTCTAACCAGAATTCTCATGAAAAAAGATCTCATACATAAAACAACGGCTACTTTGCCTAACAGTTGCAATTTCTGGTTTTGCCAACATATTAAAATAGAGACTTAAAACATTAAATACAGACAAATTATCTTTAAAGAAATAAATTAGGAATAAAACAATGAAATAATTTTTTTCCTGAAAAATGTCTTTAATATAAAGAAACAAATTTATCTTGCCTTCAGCTGAAAATCCAATCCATGCAAGATAGGATTTCCTGGTAAGAGGAAGAGGGTCACCATGCAAAATTTGTTTTTTCTTTTTTCCCAGCTCTAGCAGTTGAACTCCAAGGCACTGATCCCCATCAAATCCTGTACCTAGTAAGAAAATGTAAATATAAAACAGGCATCAAAAGTTGCTCAGCTATAATGCAGCTTAAATTATTTTCTGTGACTTGATTTTGTTGTAAATTCTTAAACCAGCACTACTTTTTTATTTTAAAAAACCCACCTAACTGATGTACCATTCAGTATTAAAAGTTGAATATGCTATGTGGACTATTTGTAATAAGTCATTTTAAGTGGCCACTCATTCACTCAAGAAACATTTATAGAGAAGTTACTATGGCGTCATTGGCCTAGGCACTGGAACCACAACAATAAACGTCACTGTTATCATAAAATTTAAATTTAAGTAGAAGACAGAAAATTAAAAAACTCAAAAACAACAAAAAATGCTATAAAAAATTAAGATAACGTAATATGAAGTGTCAGACATAGTGGTCACTTTGGATAGTCAGAGGTAGCTTCTCTGAGCAAGTGAAATTTAAGCTGACACATGAATTACAAACACGAGGGAAAGGAGCACCATAATAGGTGATGGGAACAGCTCATGAAAAGTCCCATGGCAGGAAGAATAAGCTTGGCGAGTTTGAAGAACAGAGGCCAGCGCAGCCAGAACATGGGAACAAGAGAAAAAGTGGCAGAAGATGAGGTTGAAGAGGCAGCTTCCCTTGCCAGCTATGATAAGAAGTTTGATTTTGATTCTAAAAGCAAAGCCAGGCATGTATGCAGAAAGGGGGCATGATCTATGTTTTTAAATCTAAAATCTAATCTAAGTGGCCACATGGAGGACTATGGAAGGCAAGAATTGAAGCTGAAGGACTAGCTAAGACGTTGCTATCAAAGTCCAAGAAATGACATCTGGGTTGTACTGGGGTGTGAGTGGAGGAAGTAAAAAAAGCCAGAGTTAGAATGAGTTACTCTATGGAACTACCAGGATGATATGGTTTTCTTGTTGGAATTCATGTGGAAGGTGAAAGAAGAATGAAGGATGGTTTGTAGGGGCTTGAGCAACTGGACTGTAATTATGCTATTTACCAATATGGAGAAACTAAGAAGGAAATCTGAAAGAAAAAAAAAATGCTTATTGTGTGCAAGCTCAAGATTTCTTCCAAACTCTACATGGACTTCACGTGGGCAACTGGACGTGTGAGTCTGGAGACACAGGTGAGGGTAGGGCTGATGATATCAATTTAGAAATCATAGACAAAGAGATGTATTTAAAGCCATGGGTCTTGATAAGATTCCCCAGGGTAGTTTCTCAAACTGTATTTTTTGACCAATGAGTCATGAAATCAATTTAGAGCTGCAACTAGCACTAAAAATAAAAAAATTAAATCAAAGAGTAAATGTCGTCCATGAGATTTTTGTTTGTTGTAGAGATGGGATCTTGCTACGTTACCCATGTTGATCTTGAACTCTTAGACACAAGCAATCCTCCCACCTCAGCCTCCCAAAGTGCTGGGATTACAGGCATGCAAACCCGGCCAAGAATTTTATTTCAGTTACATTTGCAGATATGTGTAGAACAGTAATGCAGAATCTATTCCTCTTGGTGGTTAGGCAGTCAAAAGACTAAAAGCCCCTGACCTAGAGAGAGTCCTAGAGAAGAAGGGGCTGCACCCGACTAAAAGGTCAGCATAGAGGAGGAGTCAACAGAAGAGCTGAGAAGGGAGCTGCCAATGAGGAAGATGACAGGAAAATGATACGCAGATGCCAAGAAGAAAGCCTTTCCAATGGAATTTTAAAAAGAATTTGAAAGGAGAAAAGCATAAAGAGACCATCAGTAAACCTGGTAGGACCAGGCTTAGCATGGTGGCAGGGACTGAAGAAAGGCATGGGATGAGGAAGAGGAGGCAGCAACTTTAAAACAACCACATTCAAAGTTGTTGTTTTCCACAAGCAGTTATTGTTGCTGACTTGAAATTCTGAAATTTCTTGGGTTGTGCTTGCCAAAAGGTAAGATGCAGACATGAAAGTAATTAACCAAACTCCGCCTTGGGATTCTCTCTATAACACGGTTCTTACATAAATACAATGTTTTCATTTTCATTGCTATTACAGAAAACAACAAAATTCTCTATATTCAAAGATTGCAATGATGCAAATATTAAATAAACGCAAAAGGAGGTCTGTGATCCAAAGCCAGAAGAGAGTAAACCACAAAAAAGTTCAAGTGAGTTCCACTTTCCTCCAGGTCACAGTAAAAGAATAAAAGACTGAAAGAAAGCCTACCTCTGTGATAAACAATGAAAAGTTGCTCTCCATGTCCGGTCACTGACACCACTGGCCCAGGAAGGCTGAAGACCTCTTTCTGGACACCCCCGATAGTAAACAATCGAAGGAGCAAGGCACTAGTGGCAGCAGCAGCCCAACCTTGACCAAGACATATGGCCTCGATATCCTCACTCTGAGGCATGTCTATTACCCACTCTTTGCTTGAATCCCAAGAACTGAAGTGCAGGCAATGAAGCTTGCTAAAAAAAAAAAGGCAGAAACAATCAAACCTCCAAGTGGGATATTTATATATATGTATATGTTTATGTATACATACACACACCTCTAATCATGACACAAAATTAAATAGTTTATTTTTTTTTTTGGAGTAGGAATCTCACCCTGTCGCCCAGGATGGAATGCAGTGGCATGCTCATGGCCACTGCAACCTCAACTTGCTGGGTTCAGGTGATCCTTCCACCTCAGCCTTCCAAGTAGCTGGAACTACAGGCATGCACCACCATGCCCAGCTAATTTTTTAAATTTACTGTAGAGAAGAGGTCTCCCCAAGTTGCCCAGGCTGGGCTTGAACTCCTGGGCTCAGGCAATCCTCTTGCCTCAGCCTCCCAAAGTGCTGGGATTACAGGCATGCGCCACCACACCCAGCTAAATAGTTTATTCTTTATATATAAAGTTTTTTTATTTTAAAGATGTGGGGTACAATTAGAGTTAGGTATACAAATGTCATTATGCAGGTACCCTTGTTGATGAAGTGTGCCCCCTCACCGATAGTTTATTCTTATATTACACATTACTACCACAAGAAATTGCTTTAAGAAAGTAACTATTAACTATTCTTTTTTTTTTTTAGTTGGAGTCTCACTCGGTCGCCCAGACTGGAGTGCAGTGGCCGCTCCCGGACACCACAGCCTCACCTGCTGGGCTCCGGCGATCCTTCTGCCTCAGTCTTCCAAGTAGCCGGAATTACAGGCACGCGCTACCACGCCCGGCTGATTTTTTGATTTATTGTAGAGATGTGGTCTCACTGCCCAGGTGGGTCTCGAACCCACGGGCTCAAACAATCCACTCACCTCAGCCTCCCAAAGGCGCGGGATTACAGGCTGAGCCACCGAGTCCGGCTGATTAACTATTCTTAAAATAGACTATTTTAAAGATACTAACAGTCATGCTTTTTGAAGAGTATTTAAAGATACAGGAAAATGGCTGGGTTCAGTGGTTGATGCCTGTAATCTCAGCATTTTGGAAAGCCAAGACAGGAGGATTGCTTGAGCCCAGAAGTTTGAGACCAGTCTAGGCAACATAGCGAGACCTTGCTTCCACAACAAAAATTTCAAAAATTAGTGGGTATGGTGGTGGTGGCACACGCCTGTAGTCCCAGCTACTGAGGAGGCTGAGGTGGAAGGATCATTTGAGCCCAGAAGGCCAAGGCTGTGGTAAGCCATGAGTAAGCCACTGCATTCCAGCCTGGGTGACAGAGTGAGACCCTGATTTTAAAAAAAAATACAGGAAATTGCTTACAACATAATGTTAAATGAAAAGGGCAGGCTAGAAATGGTTAACTGTGATTCTATGTTGTAAAACTATACAAAACCACAACCAAATTTTTAAAAAAGAAGCATCAAGATGATAAGTAACAGTTTTTTCATTGCAAAAGAGTTAACAAAAAAGAATAAAAAGATGCTGGGCATGGTGGCTCATGCCTATAATCCCAGCACTTTGGGAGGCCAAGATGAGAGGACTGCCTGAGTCCATAGGTTTGAGACCAGCTTGGGCAACTTGGTAAGACCTCATCTCTACAATAAATCAAAAAATTAGCCGGGCATGGTGGTATGTGCCTGTAGTTCCAGCTACTTGGAAGGTTGGGGGGAAAGGATCGCCTGAGACCAGCAGGTCGAGGCTGTAGTGGCTGGGGGCATGCCACTGCCCTCTGGCCTGGGTGACAGAGTAAGACTCCAACTCAAAAAAAAAAAAAAGAATAAAAAGAGAAAAAGAAAAAAATCACACATAATACCACCAGTGAGATTACTAACACAGCTAAAAGTTATGTTTCCTGTCTTTTTCCTTTGCACATATATACCACATGTAAGTTATTATTAAACACAAAGTCTTTAAGCTTCGGAATGCAGACACCATAAATATTTGTAGGCAGTAATGACTCTCTGAACAGTAACTTCAATGTTCAATTTTTTTTTTTAAAGACAGGATCTTACTCTGTTGCCCAGGTTGGGCAATCATAGCTCACTGCAGCCTTGAACTCCTGGGTTCAAGCAATTCTTCCACCTCAGACTTCCAACATGCTGGGATTAGGCATGAGTCAATGCACCTGGCCCTTAATATTCAATTTTAAAATGAAAAGGTAGACCAGGTACAGTGGCTCAAGTCTGTAACCCCAGCACTTCAGGAGGCAGAGACAAGAAGAATGCCTGAGCCCAGGGTTCAAGACCAGTTTGGGTAATTTGGTGAGACTTCATCTCTATAATACATCAAAAAATTAGCCAGGCATGGTATGTGCCTGTAGTTCTAGTTATTTGGAAGGCTGAGGCAGAAAGATCACCTGAGCATAGCATCAGCGTGCCACTGCACTCTAGCCTGGGCAATAGAGACTCCGACTCAAAAAAGAAAATGAAAATGTAATACTGTATATGTCTGTAAAATAATATATTTAAGGAGAACAGAAAGGAGTATCTAAAAATTGCACATGGACCCCACAATTTTAAGATAAAAATTAAAAGAGGGGAAAAAGATAAAAATAAAAAAAATAAATAAAAATTGCACATAGAAATAAATGTTATCATTGTATAAGCAATTTTGAGTTAGAGACACTCAGTCACAGTGATTTATTTTAATAAAGTAATTTAATTCAGTAATGAATAAAGTACTGAGTTAATTTTATAGTGTGTAAATTAGACCTATTAAAAAGTTAAAATTACCTAACACTTATCCAGCATTATTGCTTGATAACTGTGATGTACAGTGTACGGAGGTATCACAGGACTTCACACCTACTGACATAGAGCTTCTCAGACTTTAATATGTACTCAGTCACATGAGGATCTTGTTAAAATGCAGATTCTGAGTCAGAAGGTCTGGGATTCTGCATTTTCAGCAAGCTCCCAGGTGATCCATGAACAAATATATCTAATTAGACAGATATGAATCTCTGATATGGGGGATGATAAAATCCACTGAATGCACCAATACTACAATCAGCTAAAGAAAAGTGATTAGAGCCGGGCTCGGTGGCTCAGCCCGTAATCCCGCGCCTTTGGGAGGCTGAGGTGAGTGGATTGCCTGAGCCCGCAGGTTCGAGACCCGCCTGGGCAGCGAGACCTCATCTCTACAATAAATCAAAAAATCAGCCGGGCGTGGTAGCGCGCGCCTGTAAATCCGGCTACTTGGAAGGCTGAGGCGGAAGGATCGCCAGAGCCCAGCAGGTCGAGGCTGCGGTGGCCGGGAGCAGCCACTGCACTCCAGTCTGGGCGACAGAGTGAGACGCCAACTAAAAAAAAAAAAAAAAAAAAAGAAAGAAAAGTGATTAGGAGAGGCAATCTAGCTACAATAACAAAAAGTTGAGAAAAATATTCTCTTTTCTTGGAAAAAAATGTACTCCACATCCCTTGCTTTTCCATCATTTTTTTCCCCCTATTATATCTACTACCTATCTACCTACAAGGGGGACCCCAAAAACCCCAGAATTTATTTATAAAAAACTATACTTATATGTTTAAACTTCAGTCACCTTCAAACTACTATTTAGTTGATGTAGTACACCTATCGAGACACTTTTTCTACTGCTCAAAAGTTTTTGAACTCATTAATTTTGCTGTCTTTCAGTGCTCCTGCCATTTGTTTCACCTCTTCCAGTCAGAAAAATATTTCCCTTTGAGGACTTTTTTCATCCTGGGAAACAGAAAAGAGTCGGTTGGGATGAGACATGGAGGGTCACACTGTTCTTAGTCAAAAGCTGCTGAACACTCAACACGGTATGGGCAGGTACATTGTCAGGGTGGAAAAATCAGTCACCTGTTTGCTACAACTCAGGATGTTTCTTCTGTAGATCATGATGCAACCTTCTCAAATCTACTAGATAAAAACTTTGGTTGGGCATTTGATTCAGAGAACAAATTCCAAGTGTACTACAAGGGGCCTGCCCTTCAAAAGATAACTCCAGTCTCCAGTGGTTTTTTGGGGGGGGGAGTCCCCCCTCATAGCTATCAAAACATGTAAAAGAAGTCCAAAAAATATTAAGTAAAAAAAGAAAACTGATAAATATTAAATTTCTTGGCTTGTTTTTTTCCTTTTTAAAAATTGTTTTTCAAAGAGAAGTTTCAAATCTAATCTACAGTGACAAAAAAACCAGATCAATAGTTGGCCACAGTTAGGAATGAATTAACTGCAAAGGAATATAAGGAAGAATTTCTGGGTGATAAAAAATATATTGATTGTGATAGTGATGAACTGCATATGTACACATCTGTCAATTCACCAACCCGTATATCTAAAGTTAGTACATTTTATTGTATATATATTATACCTCAGTAAAGTAAATTAAAACAAGAGGGATTCATACAGAAAGAAATTTAGAAGAATATATATCAAAAAAGCTATGACTGAGAGTAGAATTCTGGTGGGAACTTTCATTTTCTAAAACTTCTATACAACTTTTTCCCCCTAACAACGAATGTACTTACTCTTATGATAGTACTGAAAAACACAAATAATTTAAAAAATAATCACATCTCTCTTGCATTACAAATCATGGCATGTCATTTTGATATGTAGTTAGACATGTAATGAAGGAATAATTAGGGCAAAAACAGACACGCCCTGAGGTATCATGGTATACTGGTGTTGTACCAAATTCTTCTTTCTGAAATTTTTCTTTTTTTTTTTTTTGAGTTGGAGTCTTACTCCATTGCCCATGCTGGAGGGCAGTAGCACACTCATGGCCACCCCAGCGTCAACCTGCTGGGCTCAGATGATCCTTCTGTGTCAGCCTTCCAAGTAGGTGGAACTACAGGTGTGCACTACCACACCTGGCTAATTTTTTTTTTGGCTTTATTGTAGAGATGAGGTCTCACTAAGTTGCCCAGGCTGTTCTCGAACATATGGGCTCAGGCAATTCCCTCACCTCAGCCTCCCAAAGTGCTAGGATTACAGGCTTGAGTAACTGCACCCGGCCCTTTCTGAAATTTCACACTACAAAAGATATAATTTTGCCTTATTAACTTTTTGTCTTTAATTTTAACAGTTGTATCTAACAGTTCAACAGTGCCAAATTCTTCCCAATAATTTTGAATTTACCTTGCTAGTTCATCAGTGCTTTCACATGCCAACAAAATAGCTTCGTGGGAAAGATCTGCTATGGTGTAATTCCAAGTGTTTGCCAAGTGTGTTGCATGGTGCATGGAGGTGTCGTGGAACTCCACATCAACAGCACTGTCTTGCTCATCATTATAGCAGCGAATAATTCCAATAGAGTTCCACACCTACAAACATGTGAGATTAAACACAAGCCTCAGAAAAACTGAAGCTCCTAAAATCAATAGGCTATGGAGGTATAAATTAACAAACGTTGAGGTTTAAGTTATGAGAGCTCCAACATCACATCTAACTCTGCAGCAGACGTAAAACTGGACAGCAGCAGTAAAACCAGAGCAGAGTCACAATTACTAATTATGTTCTTCATGAGAATAAGGAACATATATACTTATTGGCAAGTGGAGTATTTAATATTTCAGAAGTTACATGACTTAATATAGACATAAATGACAACACATTTTTTTCTGTTCCAACATATGTATAAGTCAACATAAGATGATACCATTTGAAAAACCATCTTCCACTGATGTATATTATAGGCTCACACCGGGCCTTAGTATCTCTAAAAAAATTAGTGCCAATATTTTACCTATAGTTATATTAACATAACTATACAACTATAAACAAAATATTGACACTAATAAAAAAAATTAAAGTATATTACTTGATTATTACTGATTGCAAAAAGGTTTTTTTCTTTTTTTGAGTTGGAGTCTCACTCTGTCACCCAGAGTGGAGTGCAGTGGCCGCTTCCGGCCACCGCAGCCTCGACCTGCTGGGTTCCGGCGATCCTTCCACCTCAGCCTTACGAGTAGCCGGAATTACAGGCATGCGCTACCATGCCCGGCTGATTTTTTGATTTATTGTAGAGATGAGGTCTCGCTGCCCAAGCGGGTCTCAAACCCGCGGGCTCAGGCAATCCACTCACCTCAGCCTACCAAAGGCGCGGGATTACAGGCTGAGCCACCAAGCCCGGCTAAAAGTTTTATTAATATTAAACATCACCCTTAATATTTACATATATTTATGCCAGGCCTATACCATTCAAGAAAGATAACGGTCAAAATCTTCCACGTGGAAAACATCAAATAACCAACAAATAGAAATATTAAACTTTCAGCCGGGCTCGGTGGCTCAGCCTGTAATCCCGCGCTTTGGGAGGCTGAGGTGAGTGGATTGCCTGAGCCCGCAGGTTTGAGACCCACCTGGGCAGCGAGACCTCTTCTCTACAATAAATCAAAAAATCAGCCGGGCGTGGTAGCGCATGCCTGTAATTCCAGCTACATAGAAGGCTGAGGCGGAAGGATCGCCAGAGCCTAGCAGGCGAGGCTGCAGTGGCCGGGAGCGGCCACTGCACTCCAGTCTGGGCAACAGAGTGAGACTCCAATGCAAAAAAAAGAACAAAAAAAAACTTTTAAAGAATTCAAACTTAAGACAAAAAGTTAACATATTCATTCACCCATTCAAGAAATATATATTTAATGTCTACTGTGTAATACCTTGTTCTAAATGCTAAGAATATGTAAGTAAACAGAGAAATCTCTATCCTTGTAGTGCTTACATTCCTAGGGAGTGGAGTGAGGAAAAAGGGCAAGCAGTTTTCATTTTCCTGTAGTGCTTACTATCTTCTAAGATATTATACTAGTAGCTGCCTTCTAAAAAAAACACCTTCTTACTAGTGTTTTGGAATCAGTATCTTCTACATAACAAAATATGAGAAATAAGGTTTGAAAGTATAGACAAGAGAGGCCAGGCTCGGTGGCTCAGTCTGTAATTCCAGCACTTTGGGAGGCCGAGGCGAGTGGATTGATGAGTCCGCCAGTTTGACACCAGCCCGGGCAACTTGGTGAGACCTCATCTCCACAATAAAATAAAAAAACAGAGCCGGGCTCGGTGGCTCAGCCTGTAATCCCGCGTCTTGGGAGGCTGAGGTGAGTGGACTGCCTGAGCCCATGGGTTCGAGACCCGCCTGGGCAATTTGGCAAGATCTCATCTCTACAATAAATCAAAAAATTACCCAGGTGTGGTAGCGCGCGCCTGTAGTTTCAGCTACTTGGAAGGCTAAGGCGAAAGGATCGCCAGAGCCCAGCAGCTCGAGACTGCGGTGGCCGGGAGTGGCCACTGCACTCCAGTCTGGGCAACAGCGTGAGACTTCAACTCAAAAAAATAAATAGGCGGGCACAGTAGTGCACATCTGTAGTTCCGGGCTACTCGCAAGGCTAAGGCAGAAAGATCACTGGAGCCCAGAAGGTCGACGCTGGGGTGGCTGTGAGTGTGCATGCCACTGCACTCCAGCCTGGGCGAAGGAGTGAGACTCCAACTCAAAAATAAAAAAGAAAGTATAGCCAAGAGAAGTACTGCAAAATATACAGTAATATTTGCATATATTCATTACTGGCATTTTACAAAGCAGAATTCTAATTAACGTGATTTTTGATAAGGCTCAAATAAGATTAAAGTGTGAGGTTAGCCATAAAATGAATCAGTCACAAAATTATCAACAACCAAAATTATCAACAACCAAAGTGCTCCTGGTCATTTCATCAAAATTTTTATTTATTTTTAATTTTTGTATTTATTGAAGAGATGAGGTCTCACCAAATTGCTCAAACTTGGTTTCAAATTCCTGGGCTCAGACAGTCCTCTTGGTAGCTGGGATTATAGGCAAGAGCCCCCGTGACCAGCCTAATCAAGGTTTTTAAAAATGTTTTATCCAACAAAATCAACTATAGTGAGAAAAAATAGAAAAACTATTCAGAAGTGTAGACCCAAGACTTACCATGAATCTGTGAGTAAGACGCAAGGGTGTAGAACCTGACTGAAATGGCTTTTGCTGGGGAGTTGGCATGGGCCCATTACAAAAGGGTCTTTGGGATGTTACAAGTGGTAGGTTGTGAATGGTGCCTTCCTGATCATCTTCCTCTTCCTCTTTGAGAAGAGCAGAACCAGTTTTTAGCATTGTAACATCTATAATACAAAAGATTATAATTAAGACAAAAGATTATAATTAAGACACTCTTAAGTACCAATGATCTGGAAAAAGAAAAGCATTATGAAATACAACTTTCTCCACTCACACATAATGATACATACATGATATTTGCCTCTTCACTGTGCTTTGGCCATGATGGTGCCAAAGCAACAAGGGGTAAAGCTTCTGATGAACAAGGCAGTGGCAGCAAACTATATTAACAGTCATTGTATTATTAGCCCCATTCAACTGCAGCAGCAATATATTTTTATTAAATCATAATCTTCATACAGATTTTTAAGTTAAAAAGTTCTGTGTGCCAAAGAAATATGATGATTGTCTTGAGAGAAAAAAAAAAGCACGTGTGCAATTGTTTGAGTTATAAGCCAAATGAAGGAATTTTTTTTCAAGGAACATTACTTTTATTTTAAAAATAAAAGAGTTGGGTATTCGACAAACATTTTCTTGGAAATGAAGTCATCCTATCATTTACGAAAAATAACTGACAGAATTTGCTGCCAATGATAAAATTTGAAGTTTAAGTGCAAATTAGAATATTGGAAAACTTCTATTTACCAATATGAGCTTGACAACTTTCTTCTTCTTTTGAGTCGGAGTTTCCCTCTGCCACCCAGGTTGGAATGCAAAAGCACGCTCATGGCCACTGCAGTCTCAATCTGCTGGGCTCAGGCAATCCTTTCATTCAGCCTTCCAAGTAGCTGGAACTACAGGCATGCGCCACCATGCTTGGCTAAATTGTAGAGACAAGGTCTCAACAAGTTGCCTAGGCTGGTCTCAAACCTGTGGGCTAAGGCAATCCTCTTGCCTCCACCTCCCAAAGTGCTGGAACTACAGGCATAAACCACGGCACCCAGCAACAACTTTCTAATAATTAAATATCATTAAACCAATATGTATTTTCCAAATTCCAATGCATATGCTACAAAATCAAACATGACCAAAAAAAAAAAAAAAAGTCAATTCAAAATTCAAGTGAGACCAATGGATTTTAATGTACTAGTGCTTAAAGTTCACTGCAGTTTTCAGATTCCACTTTGGAAGTAAATTTGTAAGACTATAATCTGCTGAATCTTGGTGCACTATCAAGGAATTATTTGATCAGGCTATTAAAATAATTCTCCCTTTTCAAATCACATATCTATGTGAGGCAAAATTTTCTTTCTATACTTCGAGCAAAAACAATACATGGCAATAGGACTCAATACAGAAGCAGATGGGAGAATCAAGTCATCTTCTATACCAGATAGTTCAATGTTACAAAGACTGCAATGCCACTCTTCTTAATTTTTCATTAAAAAGCATTCATGTTTACATAAAATGAATTTGTTAATGTTAATTTTCACTAATAAACCTTTCTAAATTTCCAAGTTTTTGATAAATCATGCCTGTAATCCCAGCACTTTGGGAGGTGGAGGCGAAAGGATTGCCTAAGCCAGGTGGTATGTGCCTGTGGTTTCAGCTATTTAGAAGGCTAAGGTGGAGGGATCACCTGAGCCCAGCAAGTTGAGGCTGCGGTGGCCAAGAGCATGCCCCTGCACTCCAGCCCGGGTGACAGAGTGAGACTCTGACTCAAAATAAATAAATAATAATAAATTTCCCCTTTTATTGGAATCAGGGTCTCACTCTATCAACCAGGCTTTTATTTGGCCTTTTATTTGGAAGTTTTACATTACAATCTTAATTTCTTTAATAGACACAACACCACTCAGGTTATCTATTTATTCTTGAGTTAACTTGGTAGTTTGTACCTTTTAAATAATTTATCCATTTCACCTAATTTGTAAAATTCACCAGCACAGAGTTATTTATAATATTGCCCTGTTATTCTTTTCATATCAATAGCAGTGCAGTCATGCAGAAATGTAATGTGAGTTACAGTGGCAATTTTAAATTTCTAGTAACTATTTTAAAAAGTAAAAAGAAATACGTACAATTAATGCTAATAAAATACTGCATTTAAAATACATACTACCAGCCGGGCTCGGTGGCTCAGCCTGTAATCCTGTGCCTTTAGGAGGCTGAGGTGAGTGGATTGCCTGAGCCCACAGGTTCGAGACCCGCCTGGGCAGCGAGACCTCATCTCTACAATAAATCAAAAAATCAGCCGGGCGCGGTAGCGCATGCCTGTAATTCCGGCTACTTGGAAGGCTGAGGCGGAAGGATTGCCGGAGCCCAGCAGGTCGAGGCTGCGGTGGCCGGGAGCGGCCACTGCACTCCAGTCTGGGCGACAGAGTGAGACTCCAACTCAAAAACAAAACAAAACAAAACAAAAAATACATACTACCATTTCAACATGTACTCAATAAAGGAAATTTACTAAAATACTTTACATTCTTTTCTTGTACTGCCTTCATGATCGGCCAGAATAGAGATTTACCAATCTTACTGATCTTTTCAAAGAACTAGTTCTGGTTTCCCTGACTTTCTCTATACTGTAGTCTTCCTGCTGTCAGTTTTCTTGAATTTTGCTCTTTACTATTTCCTTTCTTCTGGCTGTTGGGGGTTAGTTTCCTTTTTTTCTGTTTTACTACAGAAGCTTAGATTATAGACTTGAAATCTTTATTTTTTTAGAAAGCAGGATTTATTGAGAGGACAGAAAAGCTCCCACAGTGGGAAGGGACCTGAAGGGGTTTCCCTGATACCTTTTTTTTTTTTTTTTTT